CTTGACCATTTGAAATTTGAAGGAGCAGAATGGAAAATCTTTCTTGAATTACCAAAATTCTACCTGTGAGTTGACATGTTCACGCCAAAAATGTTTGTTTAGTTTCAGATGCATTCCTTAATTGAAGAATTATTTTGTTTCGTCATATTCGTTTTGTTGAACAGATTCATTTGAGGAATTCGTTTCATATCTTCAGCATTCATTTTATATATATATACGCTAGTCCTGGTGGATTAGAGACATTTTGAAGTTTTTTTGGAAGATTGCTATATATATTCAATATATTATAATATATTTAATTTAATAAAATATAGGTAAATTATATATATATATATATATATATTTTTTTTTTTTTTTTGGAAGATTTCTCTATATATTCGATATATTATAATATATTTGATTTAATATAATACTGGTATATTTTTTATATATATATATATATATATATATAGATATATATACATATATATAAATAATTTTTATATATATATTTACCTATAAATAAATATATATATATATATATATATATATAATTTAATATAATATAATATTGGTATGTAATATATATATATATATATATATATATATAAAATTTTATATAATATTGGTATATAATATATATATATATAATATAATATAATAATATATATATATATAATATATATAATAATATATATATTTTTTTTTTTTTTTAATGGAAGATTGCTATATATATTCCATATATTATAATATATTTAATTTAATATAATACTGGTATATAATATATATATATATATATATATATAAATTAAATCTGACACCGGAATGTGTCCAATGTCGGAGTGGTGAGAATTTAAGGGTTCTCCAAATTCCATCCAGAAGGGGCAAAGAAAAGTTAGTTGGAATTGCTTATCTTCAGTCTGTTGGGTACATTTTAATTAAAAGTTATTACAAAGATCGTTGACCTCGTGTGATTTTTTCCTCCACATATGGATACTAAGTTTCCACAAACTCTTCGTTCTCAGGTAGCAATATTGTATATCCGCTACTCGGAGTTTTCCTGTTTGCGTTGTTGCTCGTCATCATCTTACTGTTTGTAAAGAGGAGAAAATTACCTCCAATGTTCCCTTCCTTACGGTGCCCACAAAATCAGCAAAAGTCAGGTATTCTTGGTTCTGCATTTAATTAAACTTGAAAAATTTATAGAAATTGCGCAAAAATTTGTAAAACAGTTTACATGAATGGGGAGTTCCAATGGTATTACCTCTATTAAATGAGTGATGGGTACAAGTGAGCAAAGTGGATGAAAAGAAATGTGACTCTAACCCAATATTTCCTGATATGGAATAGACAGATTAGTAAAATTCACGTACAAAACTGATAAAATGCGGATTATTATTATTATATTATTAGTATTATTATTATTATATTATTGTTCTTCTTATTCTTCTTTTTATATTATTGTTATTATTAATATTATTATTATTATATTATTATTTTAGTATTATTATTATTATTTTTTATTGTTATTATTATTATATTATTATTATATTATTGTTATTATTGTTATTATTATTATTATATTATTGTTATTATTATTATTATTATTATTGTTATTATTATATTTATTATTATTATTATTATAATATTATTATTATATTATTGTTATTATTGTTATTATTATTATTATTATTATTATTATTATTATTATTATTATATTATTGTTATTATTATTATATTTTTATTATTATTATTATTATTATTATTATACAGGGTTTATATAGCGCCAACAGTTTAAAAAATGAAGTTAGACATTACAGTTACAATACAATCTGGTACAGGAGGAAACAGAGGACCCGGCTCCTGGGAGCTCACAATATAGGAGGAAGGGTTGAGTGATACAAAAGGTAATAGCTGAGGGGGGGAGGAGCTGATGGAGGAAATAAATGGCAGTTTACTAGGTAGAAGCAGGATAGGCTTCTTTAAAGAGAAAGGTTTTCATGGATCGTCTAAAGGTGGATAGATTAGGAGATGGATTGGGGTAGGAAGTTCCATAGGATGGGAGAAGCTCAGGAGAAGTCCTGGAGGCGAGCATGGGAGGAGGTGACACGGGAACTAGAGAGCAGAAGGTTCCTTTAAAGAGAAGGGTTTTCAGGGATCTTCTAAAGGTAGACAGATTAGGAGATAGTCGGACAGATTGGGGTAGGGAGTTTCATATTATGGAAGAAGCTCGGGAGAAGTCCTGGAGGAGAGCATGGCAGGAGGTAACTAGAGAGCAGAAGGTCTTGGGAGGATCGAAGAGAGCAGTTTGGTTGATATTTTGAGACCAGGTCGGTGATGTAGCCGGGGGCAGAGTTGTGGATGGCTTTGTAAGTTGTTGTTAGTATTTTGAATTTTATTCATTGGGGCGAGTGGAAGCCAGTGGAGGGATTGGAAGAAAGGGGAGGAGGACACTGAATGGAGGTCGGTGGAGGGATTGGAAGAAAGGGGTGGAAGACACTGAATGGAGGCCAGTGGAAGGATTGGAAGAGAGGGGTGGAAGACACTGAATGGAGGTCGGTGGAGGGATTGGAAGAAAGGGGTGGAGGACACTGAATGGAGGTCGGTGGAGGGATTGGAAGAAAGGGGTGGAAGACACTGAATGGAGGTCGGAATGGAGGGATTGGAATAAAGGGGTGGAGGACACTGAATGGAGGTCGGTGGAGGGATTGGAATAAAGGGGTGGAAGGACACTGAATGGAGGTCGGTGGAGGGATTGGAAGAAAGGGGTGGAAGACACTGAATGGAGGTCGGTGGAGGGGATTGGAACACTGAAAGGGGTGGGGATTGGAAGAAAGAAGACACTGAATGGAGGTCGGTGGAGGGATTGGAAGAAAGGGGTGGAGGACACTGAATGGAGGTCGGTGGAGGGATTGGAAGAAAGGGGTGGAGGACACTGAATGGAGGTCGGTGGAGGGATTGGAAGAAAGGGGTGGAAGACACTGAATGGAGGTCGGTGGAGGGATTGGAAGAAAGGGGTGGAAGACACTGAATGGAGGTCGGTGGAGGGATTTGGAAGAAAGGGGTGGAGGACACTGAGTGGAGGTCGGTGGAGGGATTGGAAGAAAGGGGTGGAAGACACTGAATGGAGGTCGGTGGAGGGATTGGAAGAAAGGGGTGGAGGACACTGAGTGGAGGTCGGTGGAGGGATTGGAAGAGTTGTGCATTTGTAAGTTGTTAGTATTTTGAATTTTATTCTTTGGGGCGAGCAAAATTCAGGAAATACTGGATGCCAGTATTGTTTCCTGTACCACATCCATGATATTTTTGTAGCACCCTCCTAGGTAGCTAGGGGGAGCTAGTGTTCAATTGTCAGAGAGGAGGGCTTAGTAGCAGCCTGAGTGTGATAGCCAGCAGGGTCAACGTTTGGTCAGGGTCGCACTGAAGAACCGCTCTCTGGAATTTCCTCCTGTTCTAGACCTTTGGAAAAGGATCCGGAAGCAGTGGGTGGATCTGAGGAGTGGCTGTTCTGTACTCTTAAAGGATCCTGGCCAATCCCCGACAGGAGGCTTGGAAAGGGGCTGGGACAACCTTTAAGTGTAAGTGAGCCTGCTCAGTAGGAGGGGAGTATCGGGTGGAAGAGGATGGGGAAGAAGGCTGAGGGCAGGAGCCTGGGAGGAGACCAAGCTGGAAGGGGCTCACCTCCAGGGATGCTGGAAGAGAGGAAGAAAGCTGTGAACTTCACTGGCCCCCTGAGAGAGGACCACCTGGCAGCAGGGAAGGAGCGGTCCAGCTTAACCTCTTGGCACGCAAATGTGCAGCCTCCCGTGTCTCTGGGCCTAGACGCCGAGCGGCCGAACATTTGCGTTCTATAAAAATAAAAACATATGTGCTGAGAGCGCTCCCAGCACACATGTCCGGTACTCACGGAAAGGTCCCGATCTCCTCTTTCGATGGGGACTTTTCCCGATCATGTGACCACCGTTAGGTCCAACCTGGAACTAGGAAGGTGGACCTAATAAAATCTCCGAGGAATGTTTCCAACACTCATTTTTTTTAATCCATTTGGCAGTGTGTGTATTAAACAGTGACGGGCCGAACACCCCCCATGTTCAATTCGAGGTCGAACATCCGAACCCACAGAATATTTGACCTCGAACTTTGAACAGGAACCGAACAACTGGGCGGTATCTTCCCACGTCTGAGTATGAAATCACTGTATACAAAGATATATATATTAATGATACCTAGAGATGAAATGTGTTTTGTTCTAGAACCCACCTGTGATGAAGATCGCCCCCGGTGAGTAGTCACCCCGTTTTTGTTTTTTGAAAATCCTAGAGAACAGTACCTACAGTCCAGGGCTGGGAGGGGGCAGCCGCCCAGGGGAGGGCGATGGAGACCAGTTGGGGGAGCCACCAACGGTCGAGCCTTGGCGCTCCAAGGAAAGGATCCCGAGGATTGGGGCTGCTCAGTCTTACCTACCCGGGCCGATTTTTTTTTTTCCTGGTTACATTGTTGCAAAAATCATTAAGTGAAGTCATAGATATGATTGTATTTCATTGCGCAGTGCGGTGGCTGACATCTTTCTTTATCCAGGGACGATGGAAGATCGGCAAACCAGGGTCCAAACGGTCCAAATGGAACCGATGATAACCAGCATCTCTATGGCAACGGTGGGTTGAATGACCTTCGCCTTCGCTACTAAAATGATTAAAATGATCCTGCTTGTACGAGGTTTATATTTATGGAACGGAACGTCTCAGGCATTAGTCCAGGCCGCACAAATTTTGCACAAATTTTCCCCCGCCATATTTTCTTGGAACGGAACGTCTCAGGCATTAGTCCAGGCCGCAGAAATTTTCCCCCGCCATATTTTCTTGGAACGGAACGTCTCAGGCATTAGTCCAGGCCGCACAAATTTTCTCCCGCCGGATTTTCTCAGAACGGAACGTCTCAGGCATTAGTCCAGGCCGCACAAATTTTCACCCGCCGTATTTTCTTGGAGCGGAACGTCTCAGGCATTCGTCCAGGCCGCACGAATTTTCCCCCGCCGTATTTTCTTGGAACGGAACGTCTCAGGCATTAGTCCAGGCCGCACGAATTTTCCCCCGCCGTATTTTCTTGGAACGGAACATCTCAGGCATTCGTCCAGGCCGCGCAAATTTTCCCCCGCCGTATTTTCTTGGAGCGGAACGTCTCAGGCATTAGTCCAGGCCACACAAATTTTCCCCCGCCGTATTTTCGTGGAGCGGAACGTCTCAGACATTCGTCCAGGTCGCACAAATTTTCCCCCGCCGTTTTTTCTTGGAACGGAACGTCTCAGGCATTCGTCCAGGCTGCACAAATTTTCCCCCGCCGTATTTTCTTGGAGCGGAACATCGCAGGCATTCGTCCAGGCCGCACAAATTTTCCCCCCTCGTATTTTCTTGGAACGGAACGGAACGTCTCAGGCATTCGTCCAGGCCGCACGAATTTTCCCCCGCCGTATTTTCTTGGAGCGTAACGTCTCAGGCATTCGTCCAGGCCGCACAAATTTTCCCCCGCCGTATTTTCTTGGAGTGGAACATCGCAGGCATTAGTCCAGGCCGCACAAATTTTGCGCAAATTTTCCCCCTTCGTATTTTCTTGGAACGGAACGTCTCAGGCATTAGTCCAGGTCGCACAAATTTTCCCCCGCTGTATTTTCTTGGAACGGAACGTCCGTATTTTCTTGGAACGGAATGTCTCAGGCATTAGTCCAGGCCGCACGAATTTTCCCCCGCCGCCGTATTTTCTCAAATACTTTGATGGCTCCTTCCAGAGACCGAAATGCAATAGATTTTCTGATCGAGGTATTTCAGAAAAATATATCGTATTAGTAATTCATCATTCGTGCAACTTGGACAAACGCTTGGGACGCGCCTCTAACAAATTCTTAAAAATGGGCCCCCTGGTGTGTTTTTTTTTTTTTTTTTTTTTTTCATGTATTTGAATATTTTTGAAGAATACATCTGAAGATCTTCATCCTTCTGCCCCTCGTAGTGTCTTCACAGCCGGAGGAGGAGGACCTCTGCTACACGTACATTGATATCAGAAGGATGCAAGGTCAGCGTCTGATTGTGTCTTGTGTGTTCCACCATAGTTTGTTCATAAAGTTCTACGTGCCGCCCAACTTGGGGGCGGGCCTTTGGGGCTTTCTGTGAGACCCTCGGGGCCCCCACCAACAGTCTAATGAGACTCCTATGTGTCCTGAAGCAGGCCCCCCCTGCCTCCAACAACTGCTACAACATACTCACAGTCTCTGACCATTTCTCATGCCCATAGTCTCTGACCATCTCCGCTTGTATGTTTGTTATCTCTGAGAGCATGTCCCCAGTCTCCAACAACTCCTACAGCACATTTACAGTCTCTGACCATCTCTAATAGCATGCCCATAACTTTTGACCATGTCTAGTAGAATGACTGTAGTCTCTGACCAGCACTCATAGCATACCCATAGTCTTTGACCAGCTCATGCAGCATGCTCGTAGTCTCTGACCATCTCTTGTAGCATGCCCATAGCTTTTGACCATCTCTAATAGCATGACTGTAGTCTCTGACTAGCACTCGTAGCATGCCCATAGTCTCTGACCATCTCTTGTAGTATATCTCTAGTCTCTGACCATCTCTTGTAGTATACCCGTAGTCTCTGACCATCTCTTGTAGCATGCCCATAGTCTCTGACCACCTCTTGTAGCATGCCCATAGTCTCTGACCATCTCTTGTAGCATGCCCATAGTCTCTGACCATCTCTTGTAGCATGCCCATAGTCTCTGACCACCTCTTGTAGCATGCCCATATTCTCTGACCATCTCTTGTAGCATGCCCATAGTCTCTGACCACCTCTTGTAGCATGCCCATAGTCTCTGACCATCTCTTGTAGCATGCCCATAGTCTCTAACCACCTCTTGTAGCATGCCCATATTCTCTGACCATCTCTTGTGGCATGCCCATAGTCTCTGACCACCTCTTGTCGCATGCCCATAGTCTCTGACCATCTCTTGTAGCATGCCCATAGTCTCTGACCACCTCTTGTAGCATGCCCATAGTCTCTAACCACCTCTTGTAGCATGCCCATATTCTCTGACCATCTCTTGTGGCATGCCCATAGTCTCTGACCACCTCTTGTCGCATGCCCATAGTCTCTGACCATCTCTTGTAGCATGCCCATAGTCTCTGACCACCTCTTGTAGCATGCCCATATTCCCTGACCATCTCTTGTAGCATGCCCATAGTCTCTGACCACCTCTTGTAGCATGCCCGTAGTCTTTGACTATCTCTCATAGTATACCTGTAGTCTCTGACCATCTCTTGTAGCATGCCTAGTCTCTGACCACCTCTTGTAGCATGCCCATAGTCTCTGACCATCTCTTGTAGCATGCCCATAGTCTCTGACCACCTCTTGTAGCATGCCCATATTCTCTGACCATCTCTTGTAGCATGCCCATAGTCTCTGACCACCTCTTGTAGCATGCCCATAGTCTCTGACCATCTCTTGTAGCATGCCCATAGTCTCTAACCACCTCTTGTAGCATGCCCATATTCTCTGACCATCTCTTGTGGCATGCCCATAGTCTCTGACCATCTCTTGTAGCATGCCCATAGTCTCTGACCACCTCTTGTAGCATGCCCATATTCCCTGACCATCTCTTGTAGCATGCCCATAGTCTCTGACCACCTCTTGTAGCATGCCCGTAGTCTTTGACTATCTCTCATAGCATGCCCGTAGTCTCTGACCATCTCCTGTAGCATGCCCACAGTCTCTGACCATCTCCTATAGCATGCCTGTAGTCTCTGACCATCTCCTGTAGTGTGCCCACAGTCTCTGACCATCTCCTGTAGTGTGCCCGCAGTCTCTGACCATCTCCTGTAGTGTGCCCGCAGTCTCTGACCATCTCCTGTAGTGTGCCTGTAGTCTCTGACCATCTCCAGTTGTATATCTGCCATATCTAGCAAATTTTTGATATATTACATTCATTGAAAATTCGGTGTGGCCCTTTAACATGTCAGGGGCCCCCAATAACCATTACTGAAGTAGATTGAAGTGTAAAGCTGGATTTTTCTGCCTGAGGAAGGGCTCAGCGTGCCTCCAAATCTTCCCCACATTCTGTTCGTTGGCCAATCAATGGAATATCCTTCGGTGTGATATATTGCTCTGTGATTACACTTACGTAACAAACGATACTTTGTATTTATTTATTTTTTATGTCCTCCTGTATCCAGCTTCTGCAGGCCCCACCCACAAAAAGGTAAGTGTTTATTTATAACATAAGATCATAGAGTTATGTTTATTCTTTTCTTTTTTTTGTTAAAAAAATAAAATTTATAAAAAATGTTACAATTTTTTTAAATAATGTAACAACTTTTCGTTCTGTTTTATGTACCGTACTGAGCTCCTCAAAATAAAAGGATGCTTATAATACATCTGCAGATCATAGAGTTATGTTTATTTTTATTTTTATTCTAAATAAAATTTATAAAAAATTTTAATTTTTTTTTAATGTAACAACTTTTTGTTCTCTTTTATGTACCGTACTGAGCTACTCAAAATAAAATGATGCTCATAATACATCTATAGATCATAGAGTTATGTTTATTTTTATTTAATTATTTTTTTTATTAAAAAAAATAAAATTTATAAAAATTTTGCAATTTTTTTTAATGTAACAAATTTTTGTTCTGTTTTATGTACCGTACTAAGCTCCTCAAAATAAAATGATGCTCATAATATATCTGCAGATCATAGAGTTATGTTTATTTTTATTTAATTTTTTTTTTATTAAAAAAAATAAAATTTATAAAAATTTTGCAATTTTTTTTAATGTAACAACTTTTTGTTCTGTTTTATGTACCACACTAAGCTCCTCAAAATAAAATGATGCTCATAATATATCTGCAGATCATAGAGTTATGTTTATTTTTATTTAATTATTTTTTTTATTAAAAAAAATAAAATTTATAAAAATTTTGCAATTTTTTTTAATGTAACAACTTTTTGTTCTGTTTTATGTACCATACTGAGCTCCTCAAAATAAAATGATGCTCATAATATATCTGCAGATCATAGAGTTATGTTTATTTTTATTTAATTTTTTTTTTATTAAAAAAATTAAATTTATAAAAATTTTAATTTTTTTTTTACTATAACAACTTTTTGTTCTGTTGTATGTACCGTACTAAGCGCCTCAAAATAAAATGATGCTTATAATACATCTATAGATCATAGAGTTATATTTATTTTTATCTATTTATTTTATTAAAAAAATAAATATTATATAAAAATGTTACAATTTTTTTTAATGTAACAACTTTTCGTTCTGTTTTGTGTACCATACTGAGCTCCTCAAAATAAAAGGATGCTTATAATACATCTGTAGATCATAGAGTTATGTTTATTTTTATTTTTTTTCTAAATAAAATTTATAAAAATTTTTTTTTTTTTTTTAATGTAACAACTTTTTGTTCTCTTTTATGTACCGTACTGAGCTCCTCAAAATAAAATGATGCTCATAATACATCTATAGATCATAGAGTTATGTTTATTTTTATTTAATTATTTTTTTATAAAAAAAATAAAATTTATAAAAATTTTGCAATTTTTTTTAATGTAACAACTTTTTGTTCTGTTTTATGTACCACACTAAGCTCCTCAAAATAAAATGATGCTCATAATATATCTGCAGATCATAGAGTTATGTTTATTTTTATTTAATTATTTTTTTATAAAAAAATTATTTTTTTACTATAACAACTTTTTGTTCTGTTTTATGTACCAAAAAAATTGATGCTTAAATTTATGAGTTATGTTTATTTTTATTTAATTATTTTTTTATTAAAAAAATTAAATTTATTTTTACATTTTTTTTTACTATAACAACTTTTTGTTCTGTTTTATGTACCGTACTGAGCGCCTCAAAATAAAATGATGCTTATAATACATCTATAGATCATAGAGTTATGTTTATTTTTATTTAATTATTTTTTTATAAAAAAAATAAAATTTATAAAAATTTTGCAATTTTTTTTAATGTAACAACTTTTTGTTCTCTTTTATGTAGCATACTGAGCTCCTCAAAATAAAATGATGCTCATAATACATCTATAGATCATAGAGTTATGTTTATTTTTATTTAATTATTTTTTTATAAAAAAAAATAAAATTTATAAAAATTTTGCAATTTTTTTTAATGTAACAACTTTTTGTTCTGTTTTATGTACCACACTAAGCTCCTCAAAATAAAATGATGCTCATAATATATCTGCAGATCATAGAGTTATGTTTATTTTTATTTAATTATTTTTTTTTATTAAAAAAAATAAAATTTATAAAAATTTTGCAATTTTTTTTAATGTAACAACTTTTTGTTCTGTTTTATGTACCACACTGAGCTCCTCAAAATAAAATGATGCTCATAATATATCTGCAGATCATAGAGTTATGTTTATTTTTATTTAATTTTTTTTTTTATTAAAAAAAATAAATATTATAAAAATGTTACAATTTTTTTTAATGTAACAACTTTTTGTTCTGTTTTATGTACCACACTAAGCTCCTCAAAATAAAATGATGCTCATAATATATCTGCAGATCATAAAGTTATGTTTATTTTTATTTATTTATTTTTTTATTAAAAAAATTAAATTTATAAAAATTTAAAAAATTTTTTTACTTTAACAACTTTTTGTTCTGTTTTATGTACCGTCCTAAGCGCATCAAAATAAAATGATGCTCATAATACATCTATAGATCATAGAGTTATGTTTATTTTTATTTATTTATTTTATTAAAAAAATAAATATTTATAAAAATGTTACAATTTTTTTTAATGTAACAACTTTTCGTTCTGTTTTATGTACCATACTGAGCTCCTCAAAATAAAAGGATGCTTATAATACATCTGCAGATCATAGAGTTATGTTTATTTTTATTTAATTATTTTTTTACTAAAAAAATTAAATTTATAAAAATTTTAAATTTTTTTTTACTATAACAACTTTTTGTTCTGTTTTATGTACCGTACTAAGCGCCTCAAAATAAAATGATGCTCATAATACATCTATAGATCATAGAATTATGTTTATTTTTATCTATTTATTTTATTAAAAAAATAAATATTATAAAAATGTTACAATTTTTTTTAATGTAACAACTTTTTGTTCTCTTTTATGTACCGTACTGAGCTCCTCAAAATAAAATGATGCTCATAATACATCTATAGATCATAGAGTTATGTTTATTTTTATTTAATTATTTTTTTTTTAAAAAAAAATAAAATTTATAAAAATTTTGCAATTTTTTTTAATGTAACAAATTTTTGTTCTGTTTTATGTACCGTACTGAGCTCCTCAAAATAAAATGATGCTCATAATATATCTATAGATCACAGAGTTATGTTTATTTTTATTTATTTATTTTATTAAAAAAATAAATATTATATAAAAATGTTACAATTTTTTTAAATAATGTAACAACTTTTCATTCTGTTTTATGTACCATACTGAGCTCCTCAAAATAAAAGGATGCTTATAATACATCTGTAGATCATAGAGTTATGTTTATTCTTTTTTTTTTTTGTTAAAAAAAAAAATTTATAAAAAAAAAAATTAAAATAAAAATGTTTAAAAAAAAATAGATTTTTAAAATCAGTTTTTTTAACATTTGTGGATTCTGTCTAGGATGAGTCCTCTGTTCTGTATTCGGTGCTTCGACCTCCAAGCGCTTCAATGGAGTCAAAAACCACCCGGGAGACCGACAACCCTGACAACATCTACCAGAATTTCAATGCCGAGAGACATCAGGAAGACTCGTTCTAAGAAGAGTTTGACGCTTTGGGACGGGATGCAATGGGATTTCCCAGGCGAAACGGAAAAAGTTTTCTATGGGGAATGATTGTAAAGCCTAAGAAAAAAAAAACAAAAAAAACAGCAAATAAATTCAAAAACAAAAAAGGAAGTAAACTCTTTACTCCAAACCACAAAATTTTTTTTTTTGTTTGTTTGTTTTTTGTTTTTTTTAAGGCCTCTTGTTTCATGATACTCTGTATAAAGGCAGGAAATGGCAAAAAAGCAGGGCTATGGGGTTGATACCATGCGAAAAAAAACACCTTTTTTTTTTTTTTTTTTTTACACCTTTCTTTTGTTTTCTATTGTTAATGTTTGTAAAGCCTAAAAAAAAAAAAAAAAAAAGAGCAAATAAATTTAAAAAAAAAAGGAAGTAAACTCTTTACTCCAAACCAAAAACTTTTTTTTTTGTTTGTTTTTTGTTTTTTTTTTTTGTTTTTTTTTAAGGCCTACTTTTTTCATGATACTCTGTATAAAGGCAGGAAATAGCAAAAGAAAAAAAAGCAGGGCTCCGAGGTTGATACCAAGCAAAAAAAAAAATACTTTTTTTTTTTACACCTTTCTTTTGTTTTTTTCTTTCTTTTTTTTTGTTTTTACTGCAATGGGATTTCCCAGGTGAAAAGGAAAAGGTTTTCTATGGGGAATGTTTGTAAAGCCTAAAAAAAAAAAAACGCAGCAAA